CTCTCTCTCTCTCTCTCTCTCTCTCTCTCTCTCTCTCTCTCTCTCTCTCTCTCTCTCTCTCTCTCTCTATCTATCTATCTATCTATCTATCTCCAAAATTAATGTGGATCAGCACAGCTCACAGCACCCTCTCTCTCTCTCTCTCTCTCTCTCTCTCTCTCTCTCTCTCTCTCTCCAAAAGTAATGTGAATCAGCACAACTCAGAGCACCTTCTGCTATGATTAGTACCTGCATTTGTCACCAGCCGAGCAGCATGGATGGATATCCATCCATGCATGCTGCTTGTTGGCGGCTGATTGCTGTCCCGGACCGGTGATTACTAACCGGTTGATTGAGACCTCTGCAAGGATAGCGAACACCAGTCTTACTGAGTCAAGGAGCATAATGATTCAGTTATTATTGAAATGGCATCTAATTTAGCAACTGCTAGTACTAACCGTTTTCAAGTTCTTTTAGCAGTGGGATGGCCCCAGCACACACACACACACACACCTGTCTCTTATACACATCTAGATGTGTCCCCCCCCCCCCCCTTGTTCCGCCCCCCGGCGCTGAACCACCACCGACATGCTCGCTAACCCCCCCCCCTCTTGTTTTTTTTCCTGGTTCTAGACCTTGGTAACTTCGTGAGTTTCCATCGTTATTTCCTTTTTCTTTTTTTATTTATTTGGGAGACGGAGTAGCGGACAAGCGGGTGGGCTTTCATTGTAATGTCGATGAATCTGACGGGAATTGTGGCCAGATGCATGTATGACGACATTACTGTGTAGTCTCTCCTCTCTCCCCTCTATGATCGCGTAAAATTGGGGTTTACTCAAAACAGGACTTTTTTTTTTTTTTTTTTTTTAACCAGGACTTTTTTTTTCTTTTTTTTTAAGAGGGGGCAAAAAAAAAAAAAAAGGATTTGACGATTGCCTGTGATGTGCGATCGACGTGGCACTGCGCGTGATATGCGTGCGACGAGGCTGTGACACGTGGGTGTGACGGGCGTGTGTGAGACACGTGGTGTGGTAAGAACGTATGACACGTGGGTATGACGTGCGGGTGACGTGGAGCCAGAGTTATTGTCTTGCCTTTTTTTTTTTTTTTTTTTTTTTTTTTTTTGGGAGAGCCACGCTGATTGTATCTTCTAACGGAATGAGATATTGTGTGGCAGACGAGCGTTCTGGGAGGCTGTAAGTCTTTCGGAGTGTGCGGCGAGCGTGCGACGGAGAGGCAGGCAGACAGGAAGATCGGCCTGCTGGGGGTAATTTCTGAAGTGTGTGACCGATGTGGGGCGACAGGCAGGTCGGCAGACAGGCTGTGAGTTTCTAGAGTGTGACAGGAGGAGTGTGACAAGCAGTCACGCGGGGGACAGGTCGGCAGGCGGGCTGTAACTTTTGAAGTGTGTGACCGGTGGGCGACGCACAGGCAGGCCGGCGGCCGGCCGGCAGGCAGCCTGTGACTTTCTGAACTGTGCGACGGTCACGCAGGCAGGCAGGCAGGCTGGCAGGTCCGACTGTTAAATTTTGGGCGTGAAAATAAAAAATAAAAAAATTCGGGCGTGAGAAAAAGACTGCAGTCTGTCGCACAGCCTAGGTGTGCGACGGTCACGCTGGCTGCCAAGCAGGCAGGCAGGCAGGGCGGGGGAGGGAGACAGGTAGGCTGTCGGTGCTGGTCGACGAGGAACGGGTCCCCGGCACGAAACACAGCAGATCTCCGCTGTTGGTCTGCGGTTTCAGAGGGATTGTCATTTTCTATTTTTTTATTTTTTTATTTTTTTTGACGAGTGTGTTTTATTGTTCTCATAAAAATATTATGAACCAGTAACAGAATTGTAAATTCTATTGCACATACATACATATATCGTCAAACATATATATAACTGTTTGACGATATATATATGAGTCGGTGAAACTCCGACGAAACAGTTTGTCACAGCCCCTCGTTTGTTGTTCTTTTCTCTCTCTCTGCCTACGGTTTACCAGGCAGTTCTGTTTGTGACGATATATATACATACATATATATATATATATGAAACTCCGACGAAACAGTTTGTCACAGCCCCTCGTTTATTGTCCCCTTCTCTCTCTCTGCCTACGGTTTTACCGGGCAGTTCTGTTTGTGACGATATATATATATATATATGTCGTCAAACAGATGTACATATGTGAATGTATGAATGCATGTTTGTTGTCCTCTTCTTCCTGTCTACCGTAGGCAGGTCTGTTTGACGATGTATATATATATACAGCCCCTCGTTTGTTGTCCTCTTCTCTCTCTGCCTACGGTTTACCGGGCAGTTCTGTTTGTGACGATATATATGTGACGATATATATATATACATATATATTTATATAAATATATATACATATATACGATATATATCATATATATATATATATATAACGTATATATACTAGCCTCCTGATGAGTCGGTGAAACTCCAACGAAACAGTTTGTCACAGCCCCTCCTCGTTTGTTGTCCTCTTCTCCCTCCCTCTCTGCCTACGGACCTACGGTCTACCGGGCAGCTCTGTTTGACTATATATATTACTATAGTTAAATAAAAGATCATCAAACTGCTGTCCTGATATATTAAACTTTATTAGTCTTACATGGCCTTCCGGACCGGGATCCCATCTCGGCTTTTTCGATGGGCGACCCCTCTCTTTTCCCCTCCTTGGCTTGTTCTGGAGCATTGCCTGGTTCTGTTTCTCATCCTTTCACACCCTTCGATCGGGATCCCGACACATCAAACAGCTCGCCGCAGATGGGATACCGGCAGCAGCACGAGCACTAGCCGCAGCGAGGGCCGGGGCAGGAGTGATGGCGGTGGGCGACAGGCCGACGTCGGCGTCGACAGCGCCGCCGGAGGCGAGCACGGCGGAGCAGCTGCCACGTGGACATCTCCCGGGCGGCTCTCCTCGATGGGGATGACGGAGGGCCCCGCTGACGTGTTCCGTCATAGCTATGTGGAGCAGTCGGGGTCTCCAACGATGGCCGCGATCGATCTGGATCCCGACAAGCTGCCAGGTGGCTTCCGCGACTACAGAGGAACGATGTTTCGCTTCCAGATGGGCGGCACCGATGATGTCGCCCATGTCGCCCAAGGTCCTGGTACTGGTCCTGGTGCTGGGGATGATCATCATGATGGCTTGCCATCAGATACTTCAGAGAAAGTTCGGGTCAACTTGATAACCACAAGGAAGGGAGCCATGAGGAGCGGGGACCTCCACAACTGCACGCAGTTCGACGTGGTGTTGAAAGGCAGAGTGAGGTTGCTGATGCTAGACCTCGGAACGAGAGAGGAGAGAGAGGAGGTGTTCGAAGAAGGGGACTACATAGTCATCCCCCCTCGAGTCCCACATCTCTTCCATTTCTTGGAGGACAACTGCATGATAGAATGGTGGGCGTGCGAATACAAGGCATGGTTTTTCCGGCCATACAGAGAAAGGATCAATGCGGTAAACGGACAGTTACGATCAAAACTCTCACCCAGGAGGGCGGGGATGGGAGGGGCAACATAGATAGCAGATGTCCGTCTCCCCCCTCTCTCTCTCTCTCTCTCTCTCTCTCTCTCTCTCTCTCTCTCTCTCTCTCATCTTCGTGATCGATATCACCTCAAAACATTCTAAGACTTCTACTCTCTCTCTCTCTCTCTCATCTTGATGATCGTTATCACCTCAAAACATTCTTGTTCTTCTACGCCTACTACTACCTACTGCTGCTACTCCTCCTACTGCTGCTGCTACTAGTAGTACTGCTGCTACTACCTACTACCGCTACTACTGCTGCGGCTACTAGTAGTACTGCTGCTGCTACTACCTACTACTGCTACTACTGCTGCTGCTACTAGTAGTACTGCTGCTGCTGCTGCTGCTGCTGCTGTGCTGCAAGCGCTCACGCTGCTGCTGCAATCTGCAGGTGCTCCTTGGCTAAGGGAAAATGGGATGATGGAGGGGCTAAGGACAAGTATCATTGCGCGGTCTGACCTTGTGGGTGAAGATCGACGCTTGACGACCGAGACTCGGATGTTCTGTCGCAGGACAGGATTCGAACAGTGGACCACTCGCGGAGTCTGAGAGCTACAGCCTTCTGCCTCTCGTTTATGCCGCTCCATTTGGGGAATTTCAAACCCCTTCCTCCCCCCCGGCTCGCCGGACACACACAGCCCCCGACCCTGAGGCCTCAGCTATCACGTTTCTTTTCTCTCCTTCCTTCAACTGCAGGAGAGTAACTACGTTGACTCAGATGACGGTGGTGGCTACGGGCCTAGTTGCACTACTCGCCATCCGCCAACATTTTGAAATTTGAATGCATCTGGACTCAAATTTGTCCAGATGAGAGGTATACAACCTGTCCATTTTTTGTATCAGGCACGATCTGCGTTAAACTTTGTTTGTACCTCCTGCAACGGCGCCCATATTACTAACCGCTTTTCTTTGTACCTTCTCTCTCTCTCTCTCTCTCTCTCTCTCTCTCTCTC